AAGGACTTGGGCCATCCTCCACTGCACTCCCAGGCCACAGCAGAGAGCTGGACTGGAAGAGGAGCAACTGGGACTAGTGCCCGGCGCCCCAACCGGAACTAGAACCCGGGGTGCTGGTGCCGCAGGCGGAGGATTAGCCAAGTGAGCCATGGTGCTGGCATGAATTCTTCATTTCTAATGTTTCATTTTGATCTATTGTATTCTTCATGCCTAATATTTCATTTGATTCTCTTTAAAATTTCAATTTCATGGGAAAAATTTTCATTCATGTATGGTTTTCTTTAATTCATGAATTTGCTTCTGATTGTTTTTGGGTAGTGTTTTCATAATTTTTTTGAATTCTGCTTCCAGCATTTCCTCAATCTCTTCATCTTCGCATACTAATATTGAAGTGTTGTGTTTCTTTTGGGGGCTCATGGTGCCTTCCTGTTCTTGTTTCTTGAATTTCTGTGTTTGTTTTTAGTGGGATTATTTTTGTTTTTCTCCTCTGGTGGCTTTTATCTTTGAGCTATGCCTCTGTGTGGCTTAGTGGGATGTCTGCACTTTGAGCGAATATCAGAAAGTGTGTGGTGGGTGTGGCCAGGGAGCTCTGGTCAGTGCTCCAGGGTGGAGCGAGAATCCTGTAGATCTCAATGCCCAGGTGTTAGCCCCCAGTGTATTCCGTGCCACTGTGTGAACTGCACAGATGACCTGCGCAGGGTTTACTCTAAGCCCAGCCACCTCCCAGCTAGGCTCAAAGTCAGTGGGGACTGCAGATTGTTCCCTCTGCTAGAATCACTGGATCACACGGGCACAGAAGAGCCACTGGCTGGAAGTTGCTCCACCGCCGCCGCCAGTACTGCTGTGAAGGTGATGTTCTATCAGCTAGTTCCTGTGCACGTGCACAAAGTCTTGTGCAGCTGCCTCCCAGACCCAAGATGGTGCCTGCCCTCTTTCAGCGGGGCAGTAGGCGCTGTGTGGGGAAGGTGGAGTGAGACAAATATGCCCCCTGTACTTCGACTGGGTCTGCTGGCAACTGCTAGCAACAGCCGGCTCCCAGGGCTCCAGTCGGGACTCAAGCCTCGCTCTCCCTCGGTTCTATCGCCATGGGTTGTTGCAGTCTGGTCTCACCTCCCTCTCCAAGCTGGTGCCTGTGTTTGAGCTGCACGTCCACACCCTTCACACAGGTACACAGGGTTTCTCGTCCTTTTGTAGGGTTTCCATTGCGGTCTTCTCTCCAATTCTCTCCTGAAAGTGTACTTTGTACACCCCTTTCTTTCACTGTTTATCTCTAGTCTAGTCCCTCCCTAATCTGCCATCTTGGAATCCTCCCTAAATTCTTTTATGTTGTCTGTAACATTAAAAAAGCATTCTCACCTGTTTTCGTCCTTACAGGATGCTTCTGATCTTTCAGCATTGATTCTAATAAAATGATAGCGGTTTCTGATTAAAAAATACTTTTATCCCATTTCTGGCCTCAGACATTTTTGGTATTTCTTAATTAAGAGAGAGTTTTGTTAAATGTTTCCAGTTTCAAAAAGTTAGTATTAATTTTAGTATTTAATACTAATTAGAAGGGTTGAATAAAGATGTGTTCGGAGTGGAAGGAAGATGTACTTGGTAATAGGAAAGTGAGAGAAGCTTTGAGTTGTGTAAAGTGAAGAAGTGAGTAAGAGTATTTCAGGCCAAGATTGTGTTATGAAGATATGAGAGTGAATGATGCTTCCCTTTGCGGGAGAGTGAGAAGGGTGAATTTGGAAGAAAAGATTTGGTTAGGAAATAATAGAGCCAGAGTGAAGGTCCTGATTTGTCTTTCTAAGAAATTTTGCTCTTAGGGGCAATGGGATGTCATTAAAAGGCTTCAAATTGCAAAATGGCGTCAGACAAGACAGTGGGCTGGGAGGGAACAAAATGCACTTTTATTCAGTTAAAGGAGACCGGCTAACAGATGTTTGCAATAGTTTCTGCAGGTGACATTGGCTTAGATTTGGGTAATTCTGTGGCTGTAGGGGAGAAGTGAATGGGTTCTTGGGAGACTTAGGAGGCAGTGTCAAAAGGATTTGGTCATTGATTGGATGCAGTGAGAGAGAGGGAAGTGTCAGGTATAATCCTTATTTTCTGACATGGGTATGGGAGGTGGGTGGTATTGGTTACTGAGATTGAGAATACGGGGGTAGAATTGGTTGTATGTTCAGTTTTAGACACTGACGTTGAAGTGCATGTAGGTCATCCAAGTGGAGAAGCCCATTAGGCATGTGGGACTTTAAGTCTAGAAGTCATGAAGCAGTGTAAGTTTTAGATCACAGATAGTAATGGAAGATGGGGAATGTGTGAGATTACTTTAGAAGAATGTGTAGAGTGAGAAGGGGGCCTGGGTGAGAACTCGTGGCACACTAGCATTTAAGTGGCAGCAGATGAGAAAGGGACCACAAAGAATACCAAGCAGGAATCACTGGAGAAATAGATGGGAAACTGGGAGAGGCATGGCATGAAAACCAAAGAGAAAGATTGAAAGGTGCCATCTGAATAAAGCAACTAGCGTATCATTAGGGATAGTGGATGTCATTGGCTTTTAAACCTTCACTAAAGAAAAAGAAACTTCTTAAAGGAGGTATTGGTTTGAGGTTTAGTGGGAGTTTTACAAAGATAGTGACTAGATTTTATATTTTGGGCAGGAAGCAGCAGTAGGCAGAGTGCAGCTGAAGAGAAGGAGAGAATGGTTGGTGTAGCTAGATAATAAGAATGGAATACAGAACACAAATTCAGGAGTTAAGCTTGGATTAGACAGATATGGATGGCTCTGTGTATGCTTAGGTCCTATTTATATTGGAGGCAATAGTTTATTTTCTCAGGCAAGTTCTCAGGAAGTATTTTAATTTATTCAAAGTGTTCAAAGGCATTAAATGTGAAAAGCAGGGCTTGCATTATGGCACAGTGGGTTATGCTGCCTCCTACTATACCAAGATTCCATATTGGAGCACTGATTCGAGTCCCTGCTACTCCACTTCCAATCCAGTTCTCTGCTGATGTGCTTGAGAAAGCAGAATAAGATGGCCCAAGTGCTTGGACCCCTGTGACCCATGTGGGAGACCTGGATGGAATTCTACCCACTGGGTGGAATTCCTGGCCCAGTCCCAACTATCATGGCCATTTGGAGAGTGAGCCAGCAGATTGGAAAATCTTTGTCTTTCTGTCTCTCCCCCTCTCTCTGTAACTCTGACTTTTCAAATAAATAAAATAAATCTTAAGAAAAATAATAAATTTGAAAAGTGAGGGGCCGGTGCTTTGGCGTAGCTGGTAAAGCCGCCACATGCAGTGCTAGCGTTCCATATGGGCTCCAGTTCTAGTCCTGGCTGCTCCTCTTCCAGTCCATCTCTCTGCTGTGGCCTGGGAAAGCAGTAGAGGATGGTCCAAGTGCTTGGGCCCCTGCACCCACATGGGAGACCCAGAAGAAGCTCCTGGCTCCTGGCTTTGCATTGGCCCAGCTCTGGCCATTGCAGACATTCGGGGAGTGAACCAGAGGATGGAAGATTCTCTCTCTCTCTGCCTTTCTGTAATTCTGCCTTTCAAATAAAGTAAATAAATCTTGAAAAAAATTTTGAAAAGTGAAACTAGGAAACAGAATGGAGCCTATCATCAAGTAAGCTGCTAGGGCAGCATGAGAATCATGCCCTTCCAAAGCACACACAAGCACAGCTTTTATTTGCTTATTTTTTTAAAAAAATTAATATTTATTTGAAAGGGAGAGCAGGAGAGTGAAGGAGATCTTCCAAAGCACAGGTTTTTTTTTTTTTTTCTTTTTTTTTCTTCCAAAGATTCATCTATTTATTTGAAAGGCAGAGTTACAGAGAGGCAGAGGCAGAGAGAGAGAGGTCTTCCATCCACTGGTTACTCCCTTCATGGCTGCAATGGCCAGAGCTAGGTTGATCTGAAGCCAGCAGCCAGGAGCGTCTTCTCTCTCCCACTTGGGTGCAGCAGCCCAGGCACTTGGGCTGTATTCTGCTGCTTTCCCAGGTGCATTAGCAGGGAGCTGGATGGGAAATGGAGCAGTGTGGACTCTAACCATTGCCCATATGGTATGCCAGATTTGTAGGTAGTGGTTCTACCTGCTGTGCCACAGTTCCAGCCTCTAAGCACAGATTTTAAAAATTGTACTCTACAATAAATTTGCCTTTTATGTTTTCCCTGAACTTTCTGAAGTACCCTTACATACACCTTATACTCATAGCCTCAAGGTAATTTACGCTGTTATGAGTGCACCTGTGTTTTGACAATGAATTGTCCCAGGTGGTAAACTGGGGGAATTTTCCTCATGTGACATCATGGTGATGCTCTGAAAATTTAGGATTTTGGAGCATTTGAGATTTTTGTATTTGAGATACTCAACCTGTATATGAAATGTGATGAACATATGGGATGAATGGTATCCATTCAGTTGTTATTTCCAAGAATTGTATGAATTCTTGATCATAGAATTTTAGTTAATGAAAAGATAGTGGAGCAGGAGCCGATGCCGAGGCTCACTTAGTTAATCTTCCACCTGCAGCACCGGCATCCCATATGGTCCTGGGTTCTAGTCCCGGTTGCTCCTCTTCCAGTCCAGCTCTCTGCTGTGGCCCGAGAGTGCAGTGGAGGATGGTCCAAGTGCTTGGGCCCTGCACCCGCAAGGGAGACCAGGAGGAAGCACCTGGCTCCTGGCTTCAGATTGGTGCAGAGCCGGCTGTAGCAGCCATTTGCAGGGGTGAACCAACGGAAGGAAGATCTTTCTCTCCGTCTTTCTCTCTCACTGTCTAACTCTGCTTGTCAAATAAAAAAATAAATAAAAAAAATTAAAAAAAAGATAATGTAGCAAAAGTGCAACTAAACCATAGTTTATTGTAATAAGAAAATGCAGTTTGGGAAAGCATGTGGAGTATTTATTTGAAGGAGAATAGTATAGATTTGAGAAGTATGAAAGTAGATATCTAATCTTTTCTCTCATTCTAAAAGCCTTATTTATTTGTTTGTTTTTTCCATACCAGGTAAAAGATGCCAAAACTCAGCAGGAGCCAAAGGAATTCAGATTGCCGAAAGGCCATCACTTTGATATGATGGATATTAAGAACATTCCCAAAGGCAAAATTTCCATTGTAGAAGCATTGACACTGCTCAATAACCATAAGCTTCATCCAGAGACGTGGACTGCTAACAAAATAGCACAGGAATACCATTTAGAACTGAAAGATGTAAATTCCCTTCTCAAATATTTTGTCACTTTTGAAGTCAAAGTCTTTCCTCCTGAAGACAAGAAAGCGATACAACCAAAATGAAGAAAATCGTGAAATTACTGTTCGTGTGTGTACTTCCCATCCACCATCCCATTCATTTCCTCATTTTTAGCATATTAAATTATATAAACTGCTGGGTGTTTAATGCTCCCTACTTCTGAGAGCATACTGCTTATTGAGTGCTATTAACTTCTCAGTATTGCTCATTGAATGTATTTTGTTTTCTTTGGGATTTTAATTTGGTTTGGGCATAGTTTGAATGTATATGTCAATATGTCTAATTGGCAGATTTAAAATATGACTATAAGTCAAAGAGTTAAAGTATTTTAGGCACATCTTACCAGCTTTTAAACTAGTCATATGGCCTCTTGGGAAATGTCTTGAATCCCTCATTTAACATATGGAGTTTCACTTTCCAATTTAGGTGGCTTATTTTTTTTACCATGGAACGTTGAAAGTAAGCTTTCCTAACACATTTTCTTGTTAGGAAAAGGAGGATTTGACAGTGAGGTAGAATAAGAATATTTCCAATAAAGGCAGATAGGAGATGGACAGAAAATTAGAAAACTACTTCAATAAGAATTAGCAAGGACTTTAAATTTTTTTTACTTGTCAGAGACAGAGAAAGGGAGAGTTCCTGGTCCTCTGGCTCGGTCCTCAAATGTCCACATGAACTTGGCTGGAGCCAGGAGTTGAGAACCAAATGCAGGTCTCCATGTTATTTGAGCCACCACTACTGCCTCTGAGGCTCTGCATAGACAGAAAGCTGGAGTCAGGAGCAGAAGCCGGGAATATGAAGTGCAGGTGTCTTGACCATTAGGCTAAACACCTGCTTCCTGTTTTTTTGTTTTGTTTTGAATTGATTTAGGTGTGGAATACTGTAATTATTAAAAAATAATTAATGTTTATAAAATGTAAAATGTTAGTAATTTTTGCATTGCCAAGTAAATCAAAAGCTTTCAGAAAGATAGTAGTAGGAATTATTTGAAAAAAAAAATAGCTTTTTTTATTTGATACAGAATTGCAAGAATAATTTAAAAAATAATTAAACCAAGAAACCATGTTAAAGAATTTGTTGATCAAATATAATCTGATACTAATAATAGTGAGAATAATAAGAATAGCAAGTGGAAATGTAAAGTGTGATTATTGAAAGGAATCTGGGAAATTGTTTTACCCATTCACAAACTTGAGAGCACAAACACATGTACTAGGTACTTGGCTGTTTTGAGTTTAGCTTTACTTAATATGTTGGCACCTGTGGAATCTTGGGTAGGTTGTACAGCCTCTGAGATGGAATTTCTACTATAAAATGAGTATAATGAATGCTTCCTTACTTAAACCCAAGGGTTACGTCAAGGCAAATAATAAAGGACTACAAAGGACCAAGAACAGTGGTGGTGTTTGTGATTGAGAACATACCCCTGAGGAGATACATGACCTCAGATTCTGTAGTTCAGTCACATAGCCCAGTCCAGAATTTAGGTTTTCAGAATCCTCCTAGTGAGTTTTTCTATTAAGCTAAACAAAAGCATATCTCCAAAGGGTAGCATATGTGATTTGTGGAAATGTTAGTGTTATCAGTGTACTGCTGAAGGAAGATAGGTTTCTTTGGAAGAGGTATGGAAGATGCTAAGGGATTCAGCATGGTGATGGAATGAAGCATTTCTGGTAATGCTGTTTTTAAATGGAGTTTCATTGACATATCTAATATATTGAATAGTTTAAAGAAGAACATGAAAGAACTTAAAAAATACAGAATTGCTTTTTGAAACTAAATGAAAACTTTTATCATGTAAAGGTCAACACCTGAATACTAGCATTACTGTCTACTGCTTTGGTCTGACCCATCTTCCCTGTTCTAAGTTAGGGCTATTGTTACATGGTGTCTCATGATAAAGTGCCTCGTATTCATTGGCCTAGTACACTGCTTTTTATTATGTATAGGAGAGCACTTGGGTAGTACATGGAGTTTAAAACCAGAAAATTAAGTGTAGACACTTTTCTAGGTATTTTACAGATGTTTCTTTGTTTAATGTTTACCAGAGATGTAAGGATAAATGCTGTTAGCAATATTACTGGGAAAATTAAAAGAGCTTCAGTAACTTTTTGAAGATAACTTACTGTTGAGTCCTGGATTTAAAGCCTGGTAGGTTATTTTCAGAGCCTTGCATTCCTACCTGCTGTACTTTATTGCTTTTCTACAGGATTATGAGAAGTGGAATGGCACACAGGCAGCCTGGGAAAGTGGAGATTAGGAATACCGGTGATCACTGTATGAGGATCACTGGGGAAAATAAAGATGTTTGGATCCTTTCGGCCCTGAGGGACTGGGTTAGTTTGGGAGACTCCTGCATTGATGGACTCTGGATCCAAGGGCGTTTTAAACATTTAATGACCGCTGGCACCAAGAATGTCAATACTGTGCCCTTCATCCATGCAGTTGAATGTCAGCAAATCATTGTGATAGAAGAGAAGGAGCATAAACAGAAGAGAGGTTTTAAGTTTGAAGAAAGGAAGATTTCCAGTTGATGGAGAGAAGGACAAAAATTCTTGGAGCTGAGATTAGGGGTAAGCGGGGTAAGCAGGGTAAGGGGAGGGAGGTGGGAGGTTAATTGGTCAGAAGAACTGGGATCCAAGGAACTGATGAGGCTGATAAGGAGAGGCTTTCTGTAGAAAAGTGGTTGGATTTGGGAGTTTTAGCATAAATAAGTAGGAGAACCATATAATTTCATTACTTGAAATGAGACACCAGAGTGAAAGGAGGCATCAGTTAACATTAAGACAATAGGGGCAATAGGCATGAACTAGAATATCCTGGCTACAGTGGGAGGTGTAACCACAAAACACTATTGGGGCCGGCGCCGCGGCTCACTAGGCTAATCCTCTGCCTTTCGACGCTGGCACACCGGGTTCTAGTCCCGGTCGGGGTGCTGGATTCTGTCCCGGTTGCCCCTCTTCCAGGCCAGCTCTCTGCTGTGGCCAGGGAGTGCAGTGGAGGATGGCGCAAGTACTTGGGCCCTGCACCCCATGGGAGACCAGGATAAGTACCTGGCTCCTGGCTTCAGATTAGCGTGGCGCGCCGGCCATGGCGGCCATTGGAGGGTGAACCAATGGCAAAAGGAAGACCTTTCTCTCTGTCTCTCTCTCACTGTCCACTCTGCCTGTCAAAAACAAAATAAACACACTATCGGAGGTCTTGAAGATCACCTGGGAACTGGATATAACCCTCTTAGCTCCAAGTTACCAGTATTTAACATCTCATGTTCACTCAGTAATGATTCCTTCATGTGCAGAGGGTTTTGCTTGGTGCCCAAGTACTTGGATGTTCTCTTCTCTATATTTACTCAATGCCCTTAAACACCTGTAATACCAAGAAATGGAAAGTGGGGCTCTAGATAATTGGTAGTGTTAAGGAAACTTTTCTACCCATACTTGGAAGGATTGAATTAAAGTGGCTCAAAATACCCTGAATTGTGCTCAAAGATAGCTTGTAGATCCAAGTTGAAATATACAAATAAATAAGCAAATGTAAAAGGTTAAAATGGTTTTATGCACCTCAAATAGCCATCACTCATTGTTTGATGGCTGCTCTGTCTTATTTGGTCTGACAAAGACTAATTCATGAAACAGTTTGAGAGAAGGGAGTGGGTACCCAGTTTATCTGTATATGCATACTCTATTTCTTATGCTTCAGGAGCAATAGGACTGGATTACTTTTTAGGAAAATTGAAGAAATATCAAAAGTACTTATTGGTTTAAAACTATAAAAATGCAGAGTTTTTAATTCAGAACATTTGGGTCATTGATTCCATGATTCATGCTTCCCCCACACTTTGTGACTGTCAATATGAATAATATAACAGCCAAATTTTTCTTTGGATGTTTTCATTTGAAGCCACTTTCTAGCCTAGTGGCTTAGACACCCCCATCAGAGTACTTGATTTTGGTTCTTGGCTTCAGTTCCTGACTCCAGCTTCCTGCAAGTGCAGATGCTAGGAGGCAGCAGTAATGACTGCAGTAATTGAGTTCTGCCATGCTCATGGAGATCTGGATTGTGTTCTGAGCTCCAGGCTTCAGCCCCAACCCAGCCCTAGCAATTCTGGGATATGGGAGCTCTCTACCTACCTACCTCCCAAATAAAAAATTTTAAAAGTCTGCCTTCATTTCAAGGTAAGCATAATACAAATCATCTAGTAATTTGAGCCATCTAATGAAGATTGCTACTTTTTAGAATTATCTATTATTTCATTTCCTTTTTTGATGATAGTTGTTATAAATCAGTATGTTTTTCTATTTTTATTTTTAATTAATTTCAATGTACATTATAATTTTATATATCTTTATATGGGTTGATGAGTATATAGAAGCTTCTTAATTATCCACATAATAAAATGCAGAAGAGCCCCTAATTATTTAGATTATTATTAGTATAGGAAAATCCTTTCATAAGGTCATAGTGTGTTCAGCTCTGATTGGGTCTGTCCATTGTTCTTTACTCCATTATCCATTCATTATTCAGTATTTATATTAGCCTTCCTGCTGCTTCCTGCAAATTTGCTTCTTGCTAATGTCCCAGAAATACCATCACCAAAAGCAAGAGTACCTACCTTTCTGCCTCTTAGGTTACCTCTTTTACTTCTGTTATGCCCCTAATGCTTTCTGGAACAATAACAAAAGGCAAGATGGAAGATTTTTTTTTTTTTAGATTTATTTATTTATTTGAAAGAGTTACACAGAGAGAGGAGAAGCAGAGAGAGAGAGAGGTCTTCCTTCCGATGATTCACTCCCCAATTGGCCACAATGGCAAGAGCTGTGCCAATCTGAAGCCAGGAGCCAGGAGCTTCTCTGGGTCTCTCAGGTGGGTGCAGGGACCCAAGCACTTGGGTCATCTTCTACTGCTTTCCCAGGCCATAACAGAGAGCTGGATCAGAAGTGGAGCAGCTGGGACTCGAACCGGCACCCATATGGGATGCCGACGCTTCAGGCCAGGGTGTTAACCCACTGAGCCACAGCGCCGGCCCCAACCCCAAGATGGAAGATTTTTAAAGGCCAAACTTAAGAGATTCTAAAACCTTAAAACAACACTCTTAATGAGGCCTTTAAATATTTAGGTCATCACATTTTATTTTGTAAGAAACCTACTTCTAGGTAGGTCAATATGTGACCCACTTCTGGGCTGTAGATATAAGATTAATAGTGTGATTTTTAAAAACTTTTCTCCCTCAAGTAATTTATTAAGCAAAAGAAATATAAGCACTTAAATTAATAGCTTTTAAAAGAGAAGTGGCTGTTAAAATAGTTTTCTCAAGTTAGTAATATTATTCATTTATCAAAAATAATTATATGTACCAGACTCAGGAAAGATAAATTCTCAACATGCAGTTTTATAGTGTTAGCTGCTCTTCAGTTACCTCTTACTCCATAACAAGCCATGGCAAAACTTAGTAGCTTGAAGTGACAATTCATTATTGTTTCTCATGGTTCTGCAGATTGTGAGAACTCAGCTGGGTAGTTTTCCCTTGGGATTTCATGTAGTTAGAGCTGGTGTCATCTGAGTTAGACTGGACAGTGAAGATCCCCCACTCCTGGTAGCAGTTGTTGCTGTTCGTTGGCTGAGTTCAGCCACGGTTGTGGCTCAGAGCATCTACAGGTTGGCTGTCCATGTGGTGTAGGCCTCGTGTAGTGTGGTGATGCTTTGGGTTCCACAAACAAACACTACAGGACAAAGACGGTGGTGCTGTCCGCTTCTTTGGCCTGGGCTCATAAATTGGCAGAGCATCACTTCTTTATTTGTCAGAGCAAAAAGCCTGCTTTGATTCAAGGGTAAGGAACATAGTCCACACCTCTGTATGGGAAATGTGTCGGGATTTGTGGCCATCTTCGTCATTTGAAGTGCATCATATCAGGAGATGATTGATGTCAATTCATCTTATCTTGATAATGTTAACTTTGATAGATCTGTTAAGTTAGCATCTGCCAGATTTTCACTGTGAAATTACTATTTATCTCCTTGTAATTAATAAATTATTGTTTAGAAAAAGGCATTAGAAGTTCTGGAAATGTCCCCTATTTTGATCTGTGTGGACATTGCATTAGTATATATAAATGTAAAATACACTGATCACTACATTTCAAAGTAAAGCATTTTATGTATCTTAGTATGTTGCTTTAACACCTCAGTAAAAAATAAAAAAAATTAAAATTAAATTCACTATCTTCACCTTCATACTTTGACCTATTGTTCTTATTTTGGTTGTTTTGATAGTGATTCCACTAGTCTGTTAATTACAAAGACCGCAAAGCTCAGATACCTCTGACGCTTCTCTAATTCAGTCCTGCCTTAGTCATGAGTCTGGGTACAGTAAACCATATTCCAGCTGGCACCAGACTAATCTTCTTATAAAAAATACAAATGTGATAAATAAATCTTTTTTTTTTAAATGCAAGTGTGAAAATGCCACTCCCTTGGCTTCAATTCTTCTCATTATCCTAAGGATTAAATCCAAGTTCCTTAAATTAGAAGAAGCTCCTTGCCTGCTTAATCTGTCCAAGCTCATCTCTTTTCTCGATGTGAACTGCAGCTTTCCTTACTAAGTTTCCTACTGAGATATGTATTTATCTATGACCTAAAAGGCAAGGTAACATTTCAGAGGTTTATTGAATAGTAATTTAGTTCACTTCTAGTTAATGCATGTTACTAAATATTAATTGGGTTCAAGGCTCTGAGCTAGGTACTGAGGTAGGAGTTATAAAAATTAAATGTCCTTGGTCATTAGTTGGAATAAGGGCAGAATACAAATTATCTCACTACTGGGTAAAATTTAATAAGTATCCTAAAAAAGAAGAATACAGTGCAACGTGGATTTGTTGAAGGCAGAGAGGTGGGGACAGGGGCAGGGAGCCCTGCTGAACAGAGCTTAACTCACCTTGATCAATGCTGGTATCCCGAGGAAAATGACTCTGCCACTTAAGAGGAAAAACATAAAAGTAATTAGTTCAGCAGAAGGTCGTCCACTTTCTGTGAACACACTCATCCTTTTAGAGAGACTATTGTAAGTATTTGCCATTGTGTAGTTTGATTTTCCTGTGCTGGTCGATGGTGCTGGCATCTTTATT